TACGTCCACCCTTAACTTGTAACCCCCTATTTATAGTCTAACCCCTCTATATACATCATAGATATCAACATTTTCTTCTGGTGGTGTAATATCAATTACTCTCATATTTGTTTTACTAGGCAACATATACAAGTGATTCACAATTTGATGCAATACAAAAGAATGGCTTGTTCTTGGATCAAACAAAGCATAAACTTGCTTAGATTCTAACTATAATATACCTTTCATAACATTTTGTGCAACTCTATATTCTCCTAAATCATATAATATATCCTACCCTGAGTCCTCTCCTCTTAAAACCTGGGTTGGCCTCTATGGAATCTTCAACGACCTGGGAACCACGCAAAATGGAATGACTCTTATATAACCTATAACCCCAACATTTATAAAAAAAGGCATTTTTCGGGGAATAGCCCTCTTCGAATCATAACTTAGAACACACTAATTGGAATTACTTAAGAGACATGCTAATAGAAGAGCACCACCGAACACTGTGGATCCCACACCCTTATAAACCTCAGACTGCATGGCTTTATTGCACTCGTTAAGACAGTGCTTAAGTGTTTTAGCTCTATCAAGAGGTTCGAATACCGGCTCTATCAAAGCAGGAACACTGTCTTGATTCAGGCAATCAGAATCAAAGATAGATAATATCTCAGGCGGCCATATGATATGCTCAGGAAGTAAACCCCACCACACAGTAAGACCTAGAGCCATAGATTGAAATATAACTGAATTCGAGAGCTTAACACCGAAAGGTGAGCTAATAGAGCGAAGACCACCCATAGAGATTTCTTTAGATAATTCGTTTGAAAACCTGAATCAGGTAAATTAAAACAACTTAGGATTTTTTACGGAGAACATTCAAATGATCGAGCGGAGAGAACCCATGCAAAGACTATCCATACCAGGCGTAGTTTTCACTATCTTATAGCCCTTCAAAGCAGTACTACGGGAGGGTTGTTTTTGTATAAGCGCTGCCCCCAAAGAAAAAGGATTATGATAATTAGGGTCCAGCGGAGAGTAACGGATATTGTGAGGACTAACCCGGGTAGAAGGCGTACTACTAGTAAGACTAGGGTAATATTCCCGCGTGGTGTAAACTTATCAACGGGAACACGCACATCATGCCTAATAGTAGAAAAAGTTGAATTCATGTTACTTAAAGTAGAGTGAGGGATACCCATAGAATGGAGACTTTGAAAGAAATTTTCTATTTCAAAAAGAAGAATTTATTCTAAATAGATAAAATTTATCTTTTTAGATATAAAGAATATTCGAAAATCAAATTTCTTTCATTGAACTTTATACAGTTGATCCAGCAGAAGCAGGGGTGGTAGTACCTCGCCCCGGATCCCTTCCAGTTTGAAATTCATAGCCTTAGACCCCGTTGGCTCAGCAGCATCAGTAGCAGGGGTATAGGCGGAACCCATTTCAATTGATCCATATACGGAGCCAGAGCCAGTAGTTTCACCCGCGGCATAAGTACCCATTAATGAAAAGAAAAGCGGAGGCGGAGGCCTGCCACCCTGGGAATTAGGTAATTGATGTCGCTCCTAACTGTGTTGAATGTAGAGGAGTGAGTACTTTCATTCTTAAAAAAGCTTTCTCAACGCGCCTTAGATGCTTAGTATATCGCCCTTCGTCGATCCTTTTTGAATAGAAAGAAATAGGCTGGCTGTGTGAAAGATGCGCAGGGGTGTTTTCACGTCTCACCGTAGTGCCCGGTACAATGCATTGAAAAGGTTCAGTTAGATAGTTCGGGTACAGGCTTAGAAAAAAAGATCGAGAGGTAGATAGGAATACGTTATGATCGATCAAGACCCGCAGTTCCTCGGTTAGCTAGTAAGATAAACAAGGAATGCCTACAAGGTGGAGCATAAGAAGCAGGGGAGGGCCATCAAGTATCGCGTACACTTGGTGAATCTTAACTTCCAGACGTTCTCACAGCTCATCCAAGCATAGCATCTTGAAGGAGAACTATTGCAGAATAATGGAGGTAGGCGGGTATGCCTTAAGAAGACAGCTTCTCAGCGTCAGGATAAGCGGAATAGTAGAGACAGCAGAAGGGGCTAGTAAGAATATGTAGAGTATCGGCACTGCGGAACCCCAATCTCTTTCTGGTTTAGTGAGATAATGATATAGGCAAGAGCATGTAGGGCAATGACCTCTTTCTTTCCTCACAACCAAAGCTACTTATTACGATATAAGAAGACAGCATATAACCAATTGGGGAATGGTATAACTAATGTAGTGGTTGGTAGTGGTGAAGGCGCTGTCAGCGGCTTCGATCCGAAGGCGTAACTCTTCCCCTCGGAACGGAATTTTTATTTAGATGTTGTCTCCCTCACTCTTCTCTTCCGCCTTCACTGAGACAAAAGAGTGAAGTCAAGGCTCCTTCCGTAGACTAAAGAATAGGTACTTACGAGAATGAGTAGTTGCGAGCTTTAATTCAAGCCGACTCTTGCCAATTACACATTTTTTTTTACTAGGATCAGTTTCCAACCCTCTTTTCGTCAACTGAGGTATCGAATTTTGCGTAACTCATCCATGCGGGTAGTCCCTATCTGCTGTCATGCCCCTCTAAAGGCTGTGTCAAACTCCCGATAGTCCAATATCGTAGATCAAGAGATAAAGCCGCTTATTCGGATTTGACTTGCGCCTCAGCTTGATGAAGGTCAAGACATTGGCAAGGTCCTCTTGCTCTTCTCTCGTAGCTATGTCCTCAACTACGACAGCTACTGGAGTGAGGTTGCGTAATAGAGTGGCAGTTGCCTATTGACAGAAGTCATCTCGACGCACACTCACCTGGAAATGGAAGACTGAAAGCCAGAGTCTTGAAACTAAGGGTCTGAAAGAGTTCTCTTTCTCTTGCCGGACTCGTCAATGAAGTCTGAAGTCAAGAAGCGGTGTCAACTCTTGGCCTCGGAGCTTCTGTGCCGTTAGCTGCGAACTCAACTCTTTTGTCATCGGCTCATCTCCTGATATTTAATGAAGTGGGCTCATACCTGACTCGCGCAAAGACGGACCTTCTCCTTCTGTTAGACCTCATCCATGATATGTCGCTTTCATTGAACTAGTACTCGTTGCTTACTTTGATGAGTCTGAAACACCTCCCTATCTTCCAATAACGTATATAGGAACTGCTTCATTGCTCCTTTCTTCACTCTGATATGGAATGGAATCATTTTTCCGGAAAGTTATTTGATAATATGAATAGACGGGCAGAAAAACTCTAATCGAGGTAAATTTCCGAGAAGTCCAGTTCTGGTTTGATACCAGTCTCAGGGTCCAACTCCTCTAATACAAGGAATGTGTCCGCATCGTACCGAGCTTTGCTCGGGAGGCCCTGGATTCACAACAACTATGTTGTCCCCTCCACTTTTCATCAGTGCTTCAAATACAAAGCAGATGGTGATCAGAAGATGGTGACTTAATTCTCAGTTAAAGAATCACACTATGCTGACGAAAAATCTTTCGTCGATAGTGAAGAGGCGACATCTACATCCACACCCCAGTCCTCTAAAAAGGGAAAAAAGAAAGAATAGAAGCCTAAGAGTAGTCCTAAGCGGTCTTCAAAACCGGTTAAAGGACCCGTATTGGGGAAGCGACTCTGGGTCAGACGATGATGAGGTACTACCGAAGCCAAGTCCTCCTTCTCAGAGTCAACCAAAGCTGCCAGAAAGGGTTACTGCACCTCTGACTAAGGTCCAGGTGTCAAATGTCGAAAACCTAAAGACATTTGTCGTTAAGCCAAGAAATAAGGGGCAAAAGGGGATTCTTTATTACAAAAGCTCCCCGCAACCCCTTTCACATGATGACATTAACATTGAAGAGGAACATGTCACTTCCAGCCAGACAAGCTACAATGGGTTTTTGCGACCCTAGGATAAAGCAAATCATGGAACGGGAAGGAAGTAAGGCATTGGAATTAGGAAATAGCATTTATCCCAAGATAGCGGTAGCAAGTCTTCTGTGGAGGCTAGGAGTAGGAGTAGCAATAGGAGAAGGAAAGGCAAGAAGAGCCCTTTCTATTGTAGTGGAAACCATGCCTTTCCCACTTTATTCGAAAGCGCCCCTGTCCTCTCTTCCTTCCTGCTTTCTTACGACAACTACCTATTGTCTATATCATCCTGAAAGAACAAGGTTATCTAGAATCGTCCCTTACTCCATTTCTTTCTGTTAAAGGAAAGCCCATGCCTTGACTTGCTTCACGCTGTACTTACTGCTTGCTTACATGCTTACTTGGAACTGAACTCTCATGATTTATCATAAATAAATAAAAGAGCGAGATGTGCCTCCATGAAGGCCTTCTCTTCAGAGAACCCCTCAAGGAATGGTTGACCTAGGCTAAAAGAAGCGCTGCTTTCTTCTCAGCTCGCGACATCAGACTCGGTAAGTAACACAGCCTATTTTAAGTTATTTTACGTTTACATCAAAAACTTTATATAGTCCAATGGTAAGGAATTGTTAAAGTTTAACTCATGGCATGAGTTCGAATCTTTGTAACATAGGTTCAAACCTGTCTTGAAATAGACATGCAACACACCATTCAACCACCCTCTTGTGTCGGTATAGAGTCCGTCATTAAACATGTGTGCACATATAACACAGACACGTAACATACATGCACAACACAGACAATTTGACTTGGCAGTTCGCAAATAACAATGAAATTGCAGAAAGCAAAGGATAGCAATTTAACAGAAAAATCTTGCACATTATCAGAAATATCAGGTCCTCAGACAACATTATATAAACAGATCGAACATGTAGCAACCTCGCTTTAATACCAATGATGGAAGTGTACCTTGTTTTAAGAGTTCCTTCTCAGAATACGTTCTCTTATCTTCGGGTTATTTTCTATTTATGTTAATAAATATATTTATAAAGATGAAAAGTTAAGGTTATTGGCAGGACATAACTCTTCATCATCTTTCCTTTATATTATATTAGTCATATAAATAATATTAATATGAATTGGATTGACCCATCATAGATGATCCAGAACCATTTTTTTCCTTCACAGACATTGTAAAACACCCCTCAAGTTTCTGTGCTTAATACATGATGAGAATCAGTCAAGCTGGTCTTTATTCCTGAAAGCAATGAAAAAGCAGCAATTTTAAAGGAAGCGTCCAACGACTTCAAAACGCATCACTTGCGTTTCAAAACAACAAAAAGTTGAACTTTCTTGCTTGGCAGCACATGGTGAGGAAACTCCTCAAATTTTTTAGCGTATCGGTTAAACAATTCATCAATTATTTCACTTCCAAAGTGTTGAATGAGCATTCTCTCCATGCCAGCTCTTACGTGCATCACGATTGCCTTCCCCATGCTGGAGGCGTTACTCATTGATGCGTGGACTCCTGGACTTGTCAGCTCCATTTTTTCAATGTCAAAGCATCCATTCTTCTGTACAAGCTCCATCATCTCCTCGAGAGATGGTACATACATTGGCAAGTTAAAAGAGTCCACTTGAGCTTCGCTTATCTGCCCCTGCAGCAGATATTAGTAAATGTATATTTGTCATTTGTGTTGCTCCCCATATAATTAATATGATGGCAGAATTGTAAGAGAAGACATCACATGGAGGCACTTAATATTATGTAAAAAAAGGATAGACAATATACTTATTAATTTCTAGCAATGCTAATTTTATGGAAAGCTTCCTTCTTAAATAAAACAATACAACGCTTGAATTTCTAGGACTCGATACATAAGATGGACTCAATGCATAAATTTTTTTAGATATTATATCACAAAGGATATTTTCTAAGATACGTATTTTGCACTTTAATTATTTGACTCACCTCTTTTACCAAATCCAGCAAGCTGGACTTCAAAAGCTCAAACATGGCCCCTGTAAATGTTTGGGAATAAGGGATCCCTGTTGGGTTGGCTGGGAAGATCATCACTGCCATCCCTCCAGACACCATCTCTTTTGCTCTAGCATCTAAAAAGATCTCTATGCCCTTAGCATATTGGGTAGCATAAGCATTTACCACTTCATCTGGGGCATTAATGTAGTGAATCCGCCCCTTGTTCCATGATGGAGAGTTCTTGTCTAGTATCTCTTCGGGCGCCTTGGAGAGGATATGGAGTGCAATAGAAGAATAAAAAAAATGAATAGAACCCTCAGGAAACAATCGGCCATGGAAAGACCCTGGCACGCCCGCTGCAAAGTATTGCCTATTGGGAGGGAGAGAGGAGAACAGCGTGTTGAAATCATTTGATGTTAGATCGTTAAAGAATACTTGGAATTCAGGCTTTTCATTAATGTTGAGGTATTGTGCTTGATACTTCCTTTCTATAGATTCTATTATATTTTGTATTGCTAAGAAGGTATTTGGTCCAACCGAACATCCAGCATCTACAATACGTATAGTCTTTGAGGTAGAAAGCAGAATTTTCAGGTCAAGCTTCTCAGCAATTGCCTCGCCAATTTTTCCCTTTGAAGCATTAACACTATGTCCCTGCAAATTTCAAAGCAAAATAAGATCACATGTTATAGTTGTGAAATAACCATCTCGATAAATAAAAACTTATATTATAATAACTTTCTATATTATTATCTAATATATCTTATTAAATAAAAAAAATGAACTTCAGAAACCCACCACTATTAGCTGTGAAGTTTAAACTTCCAAGAGATTTCAAAAACAATTTTAAATTTCTCTCTAACAATAGCTAATGATGAATGATTTAAAATAAACCATGATAAAATAACGCACACTCTTGACCCTAATTTCTACCACGTAAAGGTTAACCTCTATAAATTTGTGGTTTTGTTTTTTATTAGGATACAGTAAATTGTAAATTTAAGAGAAAAAAGGGCATTGCCAACCCTGTTCTCTTTATTGAATCTGTCGCAGCTATTATATACAAGATTATTTTCCTTTATTGTGCTAAGCTAATTCTGGAATAAGAGTTCCAATAGGAATACATATCTTTAACAGCATATGTTTCCTAATACATTACGTAAACATGAGATATTGTTGATTCATTCTTAACATAAATCACCTCTAAAAAACTTGATAATGAAGATCATGAACTCGAACATAAATATATCCATCCTTCGTAATGAGATTGTTACATGAGAAATCATTCACAAATCCGTTATATAAGTTGATATTAATAAATATATATATTTGTTATTAATGTTTCAACAATTCAGTGAAGCATTAAATACTCTAGTGATACCCAAAGGTATATAATCCATAGTTTTATTATGGATTATAGTGACTAAACCTGAAGCCTGAATGCTAGGTGCGTTGAATAAATTACTTCTAATATACCCGATATTTTCTAAATCACCTGCAAAAAGGAGTTTTTGGCGTAACTAAATCTGCCATCTCCACCATTCATTGCATACAACTCCGGCGTTGTGGTAGCGCTGGCCCCCATCTTCAATTCTCTGTCGATAATGTGATAGCTTGTAATGAGTTCTATGCTATAGCGACGACTCTTGGTTTCCTTGTATGGGATTTTTTGTGGACACGGTCACACAGGTAGGCTGGAAGTGAATATATAATTTTAATAAATAAAATTTTGGAAGTCAACTTTCCTTATCATTAGTTGCTGCAAACGTGGACTAACAGATTTGTATACTGTATGAATGCCTCGAGCTTGTAATTGCGGCCCCACAGGAAATGGAATGCAATAATGCATCCTCCATATTTACGAAGAGGAAGACATCAAAAGTCTGACTATATTGCGAAATTTACTCTTTGAATTTAACGTACATTAAATCGCCAACTTTTCTATACGCGTTTTGTATTAAAATTCAATAGAATTGATGCTAGGGCTATGTTTCTTTGAATTTATTTTTTAAAAAATTATTTTTAAAATTTTTTTATATTTATTTATTATTAAAAAAAGTTGATCAATGAAAAATACTTTTTAATTTAAAAAAATAGCTTAGTTTTTAAAAAAGTATTTTCCTAAAAAATTTGAATTAAAAACAGTTTTTGAAAATCATGAAAAATTTAGAAAAGTCATATTATTTACTAATTATATCAAATTTGGTTCTCAAACTTTTGATTGCTATATATATTTTGTTTTGAATATTTATTTTTCAATTTCATCTCTTAAAATTTAATTTTTATATTAACTTTGATCCTCATTTTTATAATTGTTATTTGTTTTTCCCTTATCATTTTTCTATTGAAATTTTTTATGTATCAAATTTGGTTATAATTTTTTTTTTTATTTTATTTAAAATAATTTATGAAATGTTAATTATATTATTTTAATTTCTTCATCTTTTATTTTTTTAATATTTAATCTCTATTAATAATTTTTTTTTTTATTTTATTTAAAATAATTTATGAAATTATTTTTTTTCTATTTCATTCTCATTCAACCTTTTAATTTGTAAGATTTGTTTCTCACTATTTTAATAAACTTGAAAAAAATAAAACATTAATAAATTATTTTTTAGCTCATTTTCCAAGACATAACTAAACACTAAAAAGTGTTTTCCAACTTATTTTCCATTACACTATCAAACATCAGAAAATAATTCACCTTCTTGGAATTCACTTTCTAAAAAAAAACTATTTTCTAGCAAACAAACGGGGCCCAGGATTATGGCTCATATTGAACCAAATAAGCTTGGAGTAATTGTTAAGAAATTTGAAGCAAAGATCAAGTGAAATTGGCCCTCGACTTTGATTATATTGCGAGATCCCACTCTTCTTTGTTCATTAAGTGTTCAGTTTTTACAAGTATGTGGAGAATTTGTAACATTAAAATAATATTTGAGAGTGTGGTAATGGTAGTTTTCTAAAGTGTTTTTCACTCGGAAATGTGTTAAAATAATATTTTAAAAAAAATTATTTTTGATATCAGCACATCAAAACAATGCAAAAATATAAAAAAAATTAATTTAAAAAATCAAAATTTTAAAAAATACAGTTTACATTACGTTCCCAAACAATGTCTAAAATGGTTTGTGTTAATGCATGATCACAAAAATATAAAATGCCCAATAAGGTTTGGCTCCAAAGGTCTAATCTTTTTTACTTTTTCTTTTTTCTTTTTCTTTTTTTCTCTCCTCTTCTTTATTTCCACAACTAACTTTCTTCAAAATAGTAAAGTAAGATGTCATTTATTTTAAATGTTAAATTCAATCCTTATTATTTGAGTTTTTTTTTTAATTTTATCCTTAAATATTTGTTTGGTTAGAAATTGAGATTTGTAACTTTTTTAGTTTATTTTTTATTGGGTTATATTAGTATCTTAATTTAGATAATAGGTTTGATATGTTAATTTGGATTGACTCAAGTTTTTTGTTTCAATCTTTTTTTAATTGGTATTTTATTTTAATTTTATCATTTAATATTGAGTTAGTTGAGAATCGAGTTTTATGTTTTTTTGACAATTTACTTCTATGGGTTTATCTCATTATCTTGACTCAAACTGCAATACTAGATGGTTAGAAGAGGTTGCCTTGAGAGTTTTTTTTTTTATATACTTTCATTCTCTAATATTGGATTGATTGGTAATTCGATTTTTTATTTTTTTTCTAAGGGTTTATCCCAATTTTATAAGGGGCATTAATATAGTGAATTTGCCTTTTGTTTCATGATAGAGAGCTCTTATCTAGCTTAATTTATCTTTAATATTCATATAATATTAAATTAATAAATCTAATATTTTATTGATGAATCTAGAGTAAAGGTAAAGTACTTAGGACAAAAATATTTTGTAAAAAAAATTATAAAGTTATTATAATTATGGGATTCTTATTGCATCAAAGCATTATTTCTAAAATATTCCTAGTTGATACTCTCTTAAATACTGGATATTTATTAAAGTCATAAAAACTGGTAAATAATATGTTCTTTCTTTTATAAAAGGAAGTAGTTGCTTTCATAAGTTGATGTATAAGAGATACCTAAAACTAATATGTAAATGCTTTTCATAAGACATGCACACTAAACTGACCCGTATGAAAATTCCATATGGAGATATCACATGTCTATGGAAAGACTTGCGTGATAGTTATATAAATGATCCTTAGGCTTTATATCACTAGATTATCTCATATATAGAGTGTTATGTTTTCATCTTGTTACGCGTTATATTGGTAAAGGTAACAAATAAGCAGACATTGGATATAATATAAATTATATAAAGGTATTTAAGTGATCAAGAGAGGATTTATCACTTTAGGTCAATTATTCTCAAATAGTATTGATTGTTAAATCTTTTCACAAGGTGGAATGAGATTTGAAAAAAAAATCAAATCTTATTCAAATAATTAATGACTATAATGTTACGAATAAAAATGATTTCACATGACAAACACACTCCATGCTAAAATTTCTAAATCAAAATAGTATTGATGAAACGATATTAATTAAACTGAAAAACTAGTCATTGAAAGGATAAGTCAAACTATTAATGAATTTTTTAATAATTGGGGATTATGACATATTATTAGACGATATACCTGATTATCAAATATAAATTAATCAATTATTTAATTGATAATAAATTAAATTGTTTAATTTATTTAATTATAATTATAATTTATATTTAGACCAATATATTAGGAATCTAATGAATCACATACATTAAGAACTATTAGTCAAAAATTAATCTATGATATTTAATTAAGTATGACTTTATTAAAATATTTTTTAGAAATTAAGAAGTAGAATATAATTAATACAGGGATTGTATTTCTACATCTAGAAAAATTAAGTAAGGACCTTATTGAGTTAATTTCTAAAATTATCTTGAATTAATATATGGATATTATTTAAAGGAAAAATTGATATTTTTTAATTTATAGAATTTTTTATATTTTTCTATAAATTGCAAGTGATGCCTCTTATTTTTATGTGATTGTCTGTTAGATAAAAAAAACTACACAAGTCACAAAATAAAGAACTAGCACTCTAGATATAGCAATCTCTCTCTTCTAACTAGAAATTTAGAAGATTTCTCACTGATAATTCATGTAAATTATTATTGAAGACCAAATAATTAGACGACTTATGGTTTGCAACAATCCATCCCTAAGAATTTAATTAAAACCAAAGAAGATCAGATCTTTAGAAAATTTTATAGAACTCTAGATTTGTCCATTGATTTCTAAATTTAATTTTTCTTTTAATTAAGCTCCTGATTAAATTGATTGTGCTCTCTAAAAATTCAGTTAAGTCACTAAACTTAATTATTTTGCAAATCCATCACAATTTTCACTATCTTTCTTTAATTCGGTCTCAAATCCTCGTTACCTTCCTTATATAAAATTTCCTGTGGAAACCAAGGTTATCAATTCTGTTTTAATAGGTTTTATGTTTTTTTAATTGAAATGAAATGTTTTAATTTTAAAGTGTTTCGTGCCGTTTCGAGATTGAACAAGATTTAATTTAATTTAAAACAAAGATTTGTTTTAATGGAATACTAGTTGCACGGAAAGTTGACTAACAGATTATGAGACGTAAGGGAGTTGTTGTGGTGTGGGTCCATGATCACTAAAACATAAAAAAATAAGATTATGAGCGTAAGAAAGTGGGTCCATGATCACCAAAACATAAAACGTGGCAGGTTTCTTTGGGCTTTGAAATTGAATATCGAAATCTAATAAACAAAGTCAACTACATCTTGAGAGTCTCTCACTTATTCCACGAATATTATCATCTGGGGGGTCCATGATCCCTTTGACTATACAATACGAGCTCTTGGCATGATTTAGAGCCAATTGTTTTTGCATTAAACAAATGACGAATTGAAATAGTCCAAACTGTTTTTTATAAAAATCGATGTATTATTAAAATTATCGTGACATTAACTATTTTAAAATTGTCCAATTAACTTTGAATTTTATGCATTTTCTTTCTTTACTTACTTATACGGTGGACCAAGTTATCATTATCCAATTTTTAAATTTGTTTTAAAAAAATAAATAACAAAAAATAAATGAATAAAAAAATAATTTGAGAATTAATTTAAGACAACATAAATAAAAAATTTGAGGACTAATAAGAATTGAATTATAAATGTGAAAGTCAATTGATCAAAAATTAAAAGAATTGATAAACTTGGTGATTTAATTAAATTTTAGAATAGTTCAATTAATAAAATTAAGAGTTTAATTAATTAATAAAATCCAGAGTTTAATTAAAGAATTGAGGCCTAATTCTTAAATGTCAGAAGTTCAGGGGCGGCAAATTGAAACTAGCCATTTCAGGAATACAAACGGAGCCGTTTCAAAAACTATTCATCGCCTTCCTCCTCAAGAACCGTTTCAGCAGTAAAGGCATCAAAACTGCTTCAGTCATGGACCATGTCTCCCAGCTGTTATCCCTCGCCCCTATGATGCATGTCGTTACCCATTCTCTGGCCTTATAAAAGCCAGATAAAGGCCACAAACAAGGAGAGGCTGAAAACGCAAAAAAACGGTGGAGAGAGAAAGAGGGGGGGGAAGGCAGAGAGGTGTCGAAC